TTCAGATCATATTTCTTAGAAACCAAGCTCCTAGTTGGCTCACAGCCAAACAGCCTGAACTGGGCTAAGATAAGAACATCCTGTGGAGATTAGGCAGAAAGATCTGTGCCCAGCTCATGCCTCTGGAGCTGGGAGAAGACTTCCATGCCAGCAGAAGACAGCATCATACCTGTGTCCTCATCTGCTGGACTTTGGCTTTCAGCTGGCTGGTTTGCAAAGAACAGCCGAGGTCTGGGCCAGAAGGAGAGAAGGAGGAGGATGCATTTGGAAGGATCTGGAAGTTACATGATGAATGCCAGAGGCCTGGGGCTATCTGCTTGAGAGCTGTTATTACTTCAGTCATTCTCTGGGGGAAATCAGCTCATAGCAAACCCAACCTGAGCCACTCTTCTCTGCTAATGTCAATCAAGGGGTCAAATCGAGTAATTCTGTTTTTCACTGCTGCTGTTTCTATTTTGTTCCTTGATGTCTTCTAAAGCACTATATGCCCCTTCTTGGAAAATGTGTTTGCTTATTTTTATTCCACATCTAAAGTAAGAATTTAATAAGTATCAGGTCTGGGTAAGGCTGGGTAAACTGGACAATATGACAAGAATGGGGTAGATGGGAGAAGCTCTATTATTTTTATCCCTGTAGAAACTTGTCAAAATTTAAATATTTTAGAACATAAAAAGTGAATAGTAAAAGCTACAAAAAAGCAGATTTAAAAAGTAAGTAAGAGAAGAGATAAACTAGTTGAAGCAAACATTTGAGATGAGCTAGTAACAGCACATGTATTATGGATTCAGATTCAAATTTCCTAATATCCAATGTCCAAAAAAGATAAACAATTTTTAACTGTTTGATAAAAGACATCATGCAAGTTCAGCTGGTACCTAAGCCTAGAAAGACAGATGGGCCGATGTTGTCTTACAATAGAAACAACTGCAACTTTGATAACATAATATATACCAGCGTTGGGGCCAGAGGAACTGTTGTGCTCTCTAACAAGTTTCAATTCAGTCTCTCTTTTTTTTTTTTTTTACATTTAATTGGACACAGCAGGATTGTCCTAGAGAGACTGTGGTGCAGCAGCACTGAGGAGGCAAAGTAATCTTTCTGTGTTTCTACCATAGGTTTTAATTGAGGGAGGATCTGCTAATGACTTTTCTAATGAGCAAAAATGACCCTACACTACAGTGAAATCCAGGGCTAGTGCCAGCTTAGATTCAGCTGGCATGCAGGGGAAGCAAGGAGACTAACATTTATTGAGCATGGCACATCCATCACTTTTAAATGCTTGCAACAAGCCTGGGGACCCAAATTCAGCTCCTACTCAGGGGCTTCCCTCTCCAAGTTGGAGCTGCATGCTGTGGGTGCTGGTTTTCATCACAGACTGGAGGGCCGGGATGCATGGCTCTGTATGTTCACTTGGAATCCTGCAGCATCCAAGTAGGGGAACCTGGGGGACAAGGACACGTTACACTACTGAACAGATGTGGCAACTGAGGCCTGGAGAGGGGCAAAGATCAGAGTAGAACCAGGCTTTTCATTTAGGACAAGAAAGTCAAGCATCCCTAAAGTGTAAAGTAATGATAACAATGCCTTGTCAGTGTAGAGCAGAAGTGCAGTTAGCAAGGTGCTTCACACCTGCTGTGCCATTTCTTCTGTCCCACGGGTTGGCAGGAAGATAAGTAGACCTTATGCTTTCGGCGAACGCGACACTGCACAAAGAAATATTGACACATACCATATGCTCCCCACGTAAGCCAGCAGCGATTATTAAACCCATTCCACAGGTAACCGATCAGAGTTCAAGAAGGAGAAATGGACCTCCCAAGGTCACACAGGAAGTGGCAAGGCTAGGACTCAATCAAGGTCACCCAACTTCACATTTAAGGTTTGTTGAATTTGACCATGCTTCCTTTCACGTAAATATTGGAATGGGTGAGAAGAAGCACATTTGGATATCAACATGCCATTTCCAAAGTGCACAGTGACTAAGATCCTAGGGCCAGAAGTCAAACTGCCTGGGTTTCAACCCCAGTTCTGCCACTTCCAGGGCTCTGTCATTTACTTAACCTCACTGTGGCTCAGTTTTCTTAACTGTAAAATGGGAAGAATAACTTCCCTACTTCTTTATTGTGAAAATGTGAGAAAGCATTCAGATGTATGTCCTGCTCAGCCCTCAACCAATATAAGCTCACAGTATTTTTTAAATTATAAAAGTCATAATAAAACAATAGTATCAAAGTAATAAGAAATAAAAGTTTTTATAAGAATTAAAAACCTGAGGCCAGGTACGGTGGCTCATGCCTGTAATCCCAACACTTTGGAAGGCCTAGGAGGGCAGATCACCTGAGGTCAGGGGTTCAGGACTGCCTTGAACTTTACATTTGTGCATTTATTGCATGAAAGTCTTTCACATAGTAATCTCACCAATGTTCTGAAACCCCATCTCTACTAAAAATACAAAAGTTAGCTGGGCATGGGGGTAGGTGCCTATAGGCCCAGCTACTCAGGAGGCTGAGGCAGGAGAATTGATTGAACTCAGGAGGCAGAGGTTGCAGTGAGCCGAGATCATGCTACTGCACTCCAGCTTGGGTGACAGAGTGAGACTTCATCTCCAAAAAGGAAAAAACAAACAAAAAGAACTTGACACATGTTTTCTGACATTTCAGTTTCAGATTTTTGTTTTTCTTTGTAGAAAAATGGGAAATACAGAAACAAAGAAAACAAAAATTACTGTAATCCCAATGCATAGCAATAATCATAATATTTTGATGTTTTTCCAGCTGTCTTTTATTCTAACATATAAACTACGTACTTTGTTTTTATACTGTGTTTTCCATTTGGCATTAAAACATGGGTATTTTCCTATGCCACTGAATAGTTTTTTAAAGCCATTATAAAATTATGCTATTCTGTAGATGAGCCATAACTTACGTACCCATTACATGGGGAGTTGACCGTTCATTGTTGAGTGAAGAGGCTGTGTCTGATTTGCAGCTGCCTCTCTGACACAAACACAGTGACTTGTATATAGTAGGTGCTTAATAATCATTCAGGTGGCTGAAAACTCACGTTTTGATATGTGCTTCCAGAATGTTCATACCAATTTACATTCCTGCGTTTATTGCATGAGTGTCTTTCACATAGTAATCTCAGCAGCATGTGATTTAAATTTTTAAAAAAATTTTGCCTATGTGTTAAGTAAAATGTGGGACATCACCATTGTTTTAATTTTTAATTTATTTGATTAATAGTGAGGTTGAAATTTTATTCATATTTGAATTAGCCATCTGTATTATATTTTTCCCTTTTCCTTTTCTTCCTTTTTTATTTTCCTCTTTCCCACCTTCTTTTGAAAGTACCATTCTTGAAGGAACAGGCACCAGACTAGCAGTCTTGATACATTTCCTTGGATACCATCACATATTCAGATAATCCATGAGGTTCATAACAATGAATTGGGTGCTTGCTAATTATTTTAAGATAATTGCATGAATAAGTTCAGATACTCATTAATTTTGAGAAAGCTGTGACAGCTCTCAGGTATTAATGAATTTCTTGCTCAAGTTTAGGGAGTTGGCAGTTGACACACAGCTTTCCTGACATTTCAGCTTCAGATTGCCATTTTGTTTCCCTGTAATTCCATGCACACCTTATTAAAGTTCAATTATGGCTTGGAGGAACCTTCAGCTAAGGCATTAGCATCCAGTTAATTACTGAGAAGTGATGACACTTGAAGACAAATGGATTTTATTTCCTATCATGACAACAGATTCCCTCCCACCACCTGCCCAGTACAGGTGCACATTTCTTTGTCATGGATGCCCTATTTACTGTTCAGGGAATCACAGAACATTCTAGAACTACAGGATTCAGAATATTTAACTTTTTGCCTCCAAAAGAATGTTCAAATCCTTCTGGAAAGATGTCATCCAATCTCTTTTTGGAATGGCTTTGGAAATCAAAGGCTAGTTTCTACTAATAATCACTTATTTCAAGGTCTTATTATTGATGAGCAATAAGTTCTTTTTTAAATCAGAATGAAGACTTTCTGGCTTGTGCAGTGGCTCATGCCTGCAATCTCAGCGCTTTGGGAGGCTGAAGTGGGCAGATTACTTGAGGTCAGGAGTTTGAGACTAACCTGGCAAACATGGAAAAACCCTGTCTCTACCAAAATTAAAAAAATTAGCCGGGTATGGTGTCAGGCACCTGTAATCACAGCTATTCTGGAGGCTGAGGTAGGAGAATCGCTTGAACCCAGGACACAGAGGTTGGAGCGAGCTGAGATAGCACCACTGTACTCCAGCCTGTGTGACAGCTCACACATATAATCCCAGCACTTTGGGAGGCCGAACAATGGATCACTTGAGGTCAGGAGCTTGAGACCAGCCTGGCCAACATGGTGAAATCCCATCTCTACTAAAACACACACACACACGCATGCATGCATGCACACCAAAATTAGCTGGATGTGGTGTCTCATGCCTCTAGTCTTAGCTACTTGGGAGGCTGAGGCGGAGGTGGAAGAATCCCTTGAACATGGGAGGTTAAGGTTTCAGTGAGCCGAGATCATGGCACTGCAGTATAGCCTGGGCGACAGAGAGAGACTCTGTCTCAAGGAAAAGAAAAAGGGTAAAAACGAAGTAAAGTGAAGTCATTCCTGCTTTAATTTCTGCCACTCACTCCTATGTGACCTTAGAATGTTCTCTTGTTGTGGTTTCCTCGTTTCTAGAATGACAGTCCTTGTGACAGTTTGAATGTGTTCCCAGAAGTTCTTTCTTTGGAAACTGAATCCCCAATTCAACAGTGTTGGGAGGTGGGACCTTGAACGGGTGTTTAGGTCACAAGCGCTCTGCCCTCATGAATAAATTAATGAAGCTATTGTGGGAGTGGGTCAGTTATCATGGGAGTGGATTCCTGATAAAAGGATGGGTTCACCCCCTTTCCCTGCTCTCTCTCATGTGTGCTTTCTTGCTCATTCTCCTTCTGCCATGGGATGACGCACCAAGAAAACCCTTGCCAGATGCAGCCTCCTCGACCTTGGACTTTCCAGCCTCCAGAACGGTAAGAAATAAATCTCTGTTCTTTATAAATTACCCAGTCTCAGGTATTCAGTTATAGCTGCACAAAATGGGCTAAGACACTCCTGGAGTAATGACCCTGTGTGAAGTCATCATTCTAAAGTCCAAGATGTAAGTCAAGTGCTTCACACATGAGGGTTGCTTCATAAATGTGTTTTCCCCTTTGTGCGATGCCTTTTGTTGCCAAAAGGAATAGGAGGGAGCTAATGCTGATTAAGGGTCTATCATGTAATGTCATTTCTTCTGGGGATGACTTTCCCTCTACCATCTTAGTACTCACGGCAATCCTGTGGAGTAGATAATATTATCTTTATTTTACAGACGAGGGAACCAAAATTCAGAGAGGTTCAAGGTCGTACAGCACCTGCTCTTCCCACTGCCCAGTGAAGCACTACTCAGTCATACTAGACACAAAGGGGTTGGTCTATGGGAGGGAGTACCAGGAAGCACGAGGAGCCTACACTTCTATGGAGAGTTGAGATGCCTTCACAAAAATGCCTAATGGTGCAAGGTCATGAATGCCAAGTGCTCTAGTGTTTTGGAGGTGGATGAGATCCCTACAGATGAGGCACCAGGAACATCTTCAAGGTGGAGGTAGGTTTGAGTCTGACCTCAAAGGATGAACTGATTCAGGTAATCGGCAAAACAAAGCAAGAGAAAGGGAGAGATAATAACAAAGGCAGAGAGGTAGGAGTGAGCAAGGGAGACTGGGAGCGGTTCCTGGAACAGCAGGCGTGCACAGGGAGGTGAGAGAGAGAGTGCTGGGAAGGGAGGTTGGCACACGGAACATGGAGGGTTTTCAGTGTCGTGTTCAGGGCTTTGGGCTTATTCTTGAGACCTGGGTTTCCCAAAGGGAGCTCTGCCCCTGGGAAGAGCCTCAGAGGAAAGAATAAAACAGGACTCCCTGTACACCTCCCCTTTCCTGGTGAGTTACAATGCACATTAGCTTGTTATGCGGTCTGGGCAGTACCATCGAAAAGAGAGGCACACAAGGTATTTATTTTTTAACTTTCCACTGGGAAATTTCCAATTAAATAAGGTTAAAAAAATCGAACCTAACAGAGGAGCAATAGAAACCCTGCCCCCCAGGCTGGAAGGCAGTTCAGTCACCCTTGGGGTTTCTTTTCCTGGGAAGAAATCATGTGCCTGAGGCGGAGATGGCTGCAGCTACTTTCTCCCAGCAGCCCCCTTCCTGGCTTTCTTTGTCCTCTCAGTTTCCAGAGTTTTGAGGCTCATAAAGCTCTTTATTATACATAACTCACAGGACCCTGAGATGGGGTGGTCATCTCTGTTGTGGAGATGAGGAAACAGTCTGAGAATTGAAGCACCCTCCCAAGATCCCACGGTCAGGTGGGAGCAGAGCCAACATGGGCACCCAGGGACACCATCTCCCCGTGTGGGGTTCTACCCCATGCTCTGCTGGCTGATGCCTCCCCTGTCCTTTCTGGGGTGGCCAGACGTCCACTCCACTTTAAGAAGCAATGGATATAGATTGGCTGTATTTGTAGGGGTGAGAGTGCACTTGGAAGGAAGATCTGGTTCCACGATTTCGGGGCAATATGAACACAGGCTAATAACTCAAGAGTCACACGAGGAAGCTGGGGAGGTCTAGGGAAGTGATGTACTTACTTTTCGAGTGCTTGCTATGATCTCTACCCTCAGGAACACATTCCAATCTTTGGGCAGTGGGAGGGAGGCACTGTGTCTGATTTCTTGGGTGCAGTAATGGTAGGTTTTCGTTTACTATTTTGATGACAGTTTTGCAGGGTTTATACTTTCACAATTTAAGTGATATATGTTTCCCAGGTAATGCGGTTGATTTCATGTCTATGGTGGACACTAATGTCTCACCCCATCTCCCTTCAAGAAAAGACAGACCTATTGCCCTCTGCTGTCAGCAGAAGTCTCTGACATCAGCTCCTTCAGGGACTGCCTAGGCTAGAGAGAGGAGCGCCACCTAAGATCTTCTCCCTTCCAGAGACAGCCCACGTCCACTCTTGACCCATGTGGAGTTAGAGAGGCCTGGCCACCTGGGCCAAACGTGGGGTAACTCTGAAGGGCCACTGCGCTCTGAGCTCCTCTGGGTTTGGCAAGTTTTCCTGTTGGGTCTGCCAAATTACAGTGACTTCTCCCCACTCTGCTTCTCCTGTTTCCTTCCCCTCTGGTCCCAGGGGTGCTCCTTCGTGAACATCCTGCAGACTGAACTCTATCTCAGGGTCTGCTTCCTGGGAACTAGGGTAACCAGGCATCCCAGTTTGCCTGAGAAGTGGGACCAAGACAGCCCTGGGCAACTAGGATCCTACAGCAAACCCAACCTCAGACAATGTACTTCTGTTTATTATTGTTATATTTTGAGAGACAGGGTCTCACTATGTTGCCCAGGCTTGGGTGCAGTGGCTATTCACAGGTGTGATCATCGTTTACTGCAGACTCAAACTCCTGTGCTCAAGAATCCTCCTACCTCAGCTTGTTAAGTAGCTGGAACTATAGACATGTGACACTATGCCATGCTGTGTCTATATATTCTAATACTTCTATGCCAAGAAATTATGTTATTCTTTAAAAAGTTGGTAGAGGGGCTTTTTATTCTATAAAAAGTTGGTAGAGGGGCATTTGCCATATCCCCCTAATGCTTCCCCAACAATATCATGGCAATCTTGGGGAGGTGGGTATTATGGCTATTGTCTCCCCAAGCTTGGTGAAGCAGGAATTAGCCCTAGGAAATTAGGGCTCAGAGAAGTTAAGAAACTTTCCCCAGGCCACACAGCACTGTAGTCATGCAGGAATGAAACCTAGCCCTACCAAGTCCAAGCCTGTGCTCTATCCACCAGGCCTCTTTGGTTTTAAGACACACACCTTGGCTGTATGTTCCAAATACAGCTGTAGGTAACTATGGAGGCAGAGAAGTGCACTTACTGATTCCCAAATATGCTTGGAGCTTTTTTTCAAAATAAAATCACACTCTATTTACTGCCCACTTTCCCGTGTAGGCCTAGTTTTAAGCATCTGAACTTTCTGCTAATTACTGTCACATTAATTAAAAAATAAATCCTTTTTAATTTCATAACAGGTGGTTTGTGAGGCTGGAAGAGGAGTTGAAACTTGTGTGTAATTATTGTGTGGTGTATTTGCATTCCTAATTGCGGTGGGGGACACCTAGGGCCAAGCTGTCAGTCTCTGGGCTGTCTTTCACCTGCGCCGCGGTGCTGAGCTGTTGGCGGCGGCGGCAGCGTCTTTTCTCCAAGCAGCACCTGTGAGAGCGGCGGCTCCAGCTGGAGCCCCAAGACTTCCAATCAACACAGAGAGCCACAGGGCCTGTGCTGCGCGAGTTTGCTATGAGGAGCCTGCAACGCATCGAGGAGCCCGGCGCCCGACCCACACCTGGCATTGGCTGGGTGCTCAATAAATGCTGGCTGACCACGGCTGAATGAATCCTCACCTCGCTTATCTGACCCAAGCACCGGGCAGGCGCACTGTGGGCTGGCAGCACGGGTTCCTGATGGAAGGACTCTTGGATTTGCTCCACAGGTGACTGTGCATCCATCTGGAAACGGAGCGTCTGTGCACGGAATCCATTTCCTCTTCTAACTTCTGAATTGCTTTAGATGCTTCTGACTTCTGAACCCCTTTAGATGCACGCTGTCATTTGTCAGGAACATGCTAACATGGATGATGAAGGCTTCTTTGGCCATTTCTGCCTCCACAAGCCTCCTCTCCTCCCCCCCCTCCCCCCCCTCCCCTCCCCTCCCCTCCTCTCCTCTCCTTCCTTTCCTCTCCTTCCTTTCCTTTCCTTCTTTCCTTTCTCTTTCCGTCTTTCTTTCTTTTCTGAGACGATGTCTAGCTCTGTCGCCAAGCTGGAGTGCAGTGGTGTGATCTTGGTACACTGTAAAAAACCTCCGCCTCCCAAGTTCAAGCGATTCTCCTGCCTCCACCTCTTGAGTAGCTGGGATTATAGGCTCACGCCACCACACCCAGCTAATTTTTGTATTTTTATTAGAGACGGGGTTTCACTGTGTTGGCCAGGCTGGTCTCCAATTTCTGACCTCCAGTGATCCGCCCACCTTGGCCTCCCAAAGTGCTGGTTACAGGCACAAGCCACCACGCCTGGTCCTCCACCAACCTTTCTGTAAAGGAGTTAATGAGCCAGAAAGTACTACGTGAGTGCATTGTAAGCACTTTTAACTTAAGGCCCCAATTCAATGTGGTGGAAGGATTACAGGCTTTGAGGTCAGACCTACCATGGTTTGAATTCTGGCTCTACCACTTAGCAGCTGAGAGACTAGAGAAGTCACTTAACCTCTCTGGGCTGCACATAGCTTTTTAAATCCATAAAATGGACAAAATTGTAACTTGGTTCTGAGTTTTTCAAACTTAGATTCACATCAGAACTACCTAGGGAGCTTTTAAAAATGATCAGTGCTCGCTGGACGCCGTGGCTCATGTCTGTAATCCCAGCACTTTGGGAGGCTGAGGCAGGTGGATCATGAGTCAAAAGTTTGAGACCAGCCTGGCCAACATGGTGAAACGCCATCTCTACTAAAAATACAAAAATTACCTGGGTGTGGTGGCTCGTGCCTGTAATCTCACCTACTCAGGAGGCTGAGGCAGGAGAATTGCTTGAACCCAGGAGGTGGAGGCTGCAGTGAGCCGAGATCACACCATTGCACTCCAGCACTCTAGCCTGGGCGACAGAGCAAGATTCCATCTCAAAAAAAAAAAAAAAAGTAGTGCTTGGGTTAGGCTGCACCAAGATCTAATTAAATCAGACTGGGGAGATGGGAGGAAGGGAAGATTGAACATCAGATTTTATAATTTTTTATTTTTTTAAGACAGAGTTTAACTCTTGTTGCCCAGGCTGGAGTGCAATGGCACAATCTCAGCTCACTGCAAACTCCACCTCCTGGGTTCAAGTGAGGATCTCCTGCCTTAGGTATTTTTAGTAGAGATGAGGTTTCTCCATGTTGGTCAGGCTGGTCTCAAGCTCCTGACCTCAGGTGATCCACCTGCCTTGGCCTCCCAAGGTGCTGGGATTACAGCTGTAAGCCACCATGCCCGGCCTGGACAGCATGATTTACAAGAGCTACTCAGGTGATTCTGTTATATAGTCAGGGCTGGGAACCACTGCCTGAGCCTCTTGAGATTCTGAGACAATGTTGGGTTCAATCTTTTTCTTCCTTTGCCTTGGGAAATGTAGCCTGACTATGGAGGTTCTGGGAGCAGCTGGAGTCCCAGGCCGGTTATTGAGGCTGAGATCCAAGAGGGCAGGATGGGGACCTAGGGACTGCACCTAGCTCATGAGATGGGGCACGGTCAAGGCCCAAAACTGCCCCCCAGCCCTCCCTTCCTCAGTTTTCCTCTCCCTGGCCAGTGAAATGCGGGTTCATTACCTTGTTTGACCAATTCTAGACAACCCCAGGGAAATCAACCAATCAGGGCTTCTGACAAAATGAAGGCCGAGAGTGATGTCATTGAGGAAATGACACTAAGTTTGATTTCAGACCAGCCTTACATCCCTTATCTCTTTGATCTCGTCACAACCCTGTAGGCTAGGCACCATGATGCCCATTTTACAGATAAATACACTGAGGTTCTTTGAGGTTAAGTAACTACGTATCCTTTAAGTACGAGAGCCACAAACCAAACCCAGTCTAATTCTAAAACTCTTCATCTGCCTCCTTGTACATGTGGCCTTCCTTATATCAGCAAATAACTTATTATAAATAAACTACATCCTTACATCTTCTTAGGTCAGTCATCCTGGAGTCACCTTTGACTCCTCTCTTTCCCTTACACCCCACATCTAACCCATTGGGAAATCCCACTGGATCTATCTGTATGACATATCAAGAATGCAAGCAGGTTGCCACCTCCCTACTCCCACCTTGGTCTGAGCACTCCCATCTCTCACCTGAAATAATGATGGGTCTCACCACCTCTGTACTTATACATAGTGTGTCTTTGCAGCACAGCAGCTGGAATACTGATAAAATGTTTCTTGACACTGCCCTCCTGTGGCTTCCATCCCACTCTAAGTCAAAGCCACGTCCTCACCATGGCCTGTGCTGCCCTGCACAAAGGAGCCTCTCTGAGTTCATCGCTTACCACTGCTCCCTAGGGGCTCACACTGCTTTTCTGAAAGCTCTCCAAGTACAGGCTTCTGCTCTTGCTGTTCCCTCCTCCTGGAATGTTCCTCCCCCAGCATTGACATGGCTTTCTCTTCTCCCATCCTCACCGTTTTCAGGGAGACTCAATGTCACCTGTTTAAAATGAAAATGAACATACCAGCAAACCCCATCCTCTTCTCCTGTTTTATTTTTCTTCATAGTGCTCATCACCATCTGGTATCCTACCAGTATAACCCCACCGGTTTGTTTATTGTCTGTCTTCCATGATTAGATCTTCATCTGTTTGTCTCACTGCTCCATCCCAGGTGCCTTGAACAATGCCTAGTGCATACAAGATGCTCAGTAACTACTTGAATGAATGAATGAATGAATAAATCCTGCCACCCCTTCGAGGAAGAGGTGAGATGATCTCTAAAGCAGCAGCTAGTGAAAACACTTGGGAGAAAAGGTTGGGGAGAGGCCATCCCAGCGGGCTGCTGCATTTCCCCTGCTGATCTAGGGGATGAATGAAGGGATGGCTCAGGAGGCCTCTGGAGTATTAAGTGCTGGGCCCTGGTCTGTGGGTCACTGTGAATGTCAAGGATCTCCAGGTGGGCTCTGAACTAATCCAATAATGCAAATCCTCTGTCCTTTTAAGAGAGTGACTGGCATGGCCAAAGAATTTTTACCTGTTACCAAGCCTACTTCTCAGCAACCTATAAAACGCAGGCTCTGAAGCCAGATTGAGTTCAAGACCCAATTTTACTACTTATCACCCATGTAACTTCGGGCAAGCCACTCAGTCTCTCTGTTCCACCTTTATAAAATGAAGACGATCCTTATACCTATTTATAGCATCATGAAGATTCCATGAGACGATGCCTACAGAGAGCTTAGTAAAGGGACAGGCATGGGCTAGCATTCAATAAAGGTCAGCTCTTGTAATTAAGTGAGGTGTAGAGATTTACTAAGCACTGATACACACAAATGAAATTTGTGTGCTGCTGGAGTTTACTGAAGGCTTTAATTTGGCATTCTAGCACAAAAGTCTGCATACTGAGCAATCCGGGCGGTACTGCCATGCCCCCACCACACCTGAGCCCAGCTGAGAGTTCGAGTCAGTGACTGGGGATGTGCATCGGCAGTGCTGTCTTGAGTTGCTGCTGCTTTCCATCTGCCACCGTTCTTGCTTTTTAATGATAAATTACCATTAGCTTAGTTTCATTGTTACCCATTTAGCTTGTTGTGGGTTGTTTGCTTAACAACAGTAATTTGGGCTTATGAGTTTTCAATGGTTGGGTTTTAAGGCATGTATGCATTAGACTTCAACTGTGCATCATCCATCTCCCTTCCTAAGGCAAATCTTTCTCTGGTGTTTCCCCGAAATCATCGGCCTGTAACACTTTCATGTTATCTCTGAGTTCTTTTTTTGCTAAAAAATAAAAAAATGGGGACAGATGAGCAGGAGGCTGTGAGTGATTTTACTCTGCTGAAGTGGGCTGCGGTCAAAGAGGATGAGAGACACTGTTCTAGATCAATCTTCCCTCTCCCTTCTGTTTTATTGATGGGAAAACTGAGGCTTTGAGAGGTAAAGGATCAGAGTTCATACACAGTCACTAAAAGCCAGTCCTCCTAGTTACCTGGCCTGGGCTTTTTCCACTAGCCACATGACCTGCTTAGGCCAGTTCCCTTTCTCAGTGGAGGACTCTGGGTCCTAACGAAGGTGGCTTGAAATTGCCCACTCTTGGGTTAGGGTCTCCTCCTGGATCTTCCAATCTGGGGCCATTTTGAAGTACATTTACGTAGTGCAGAAGAGTTATGGCTCTAGAGTCAGACTACTTTATCGAACTGTGTGATTTGGATGAGTTACTTAATCTCCCTGTGCCTCAATTTCCCAAATTCCTGTAAAATGAGGATAGTGATAGCAACAACCTCCTATATCAGGAAGAACTTGGTAAGAGAGTTCACGTAGCACGCACAATGCCTGATGCATAGAAAATGCTCAGTGAAAGGCTGGGTGCAGTGGCTCCCGCCTGTAATTCCAGCACTTTGGGGGACTGAGGCAAGAGGATCACTTGAGCTCAGAAGTTTGAGACTAGCCTAGGCAACATGGTGAAACTCCATCTCTACAAAAAATTAAAAAAAAAAGATGGGCATGGTGGTGCACACCTGTAATCCCAGCCCCTTGGGAGGCTGTGGTGGGAGGTTTGCTTGAGCCCAGCGGGTAGAGGCTGCAGTGAGCGGAGATCACACCACTGCACTCCAGCCTTGCGACAGAGAGAGACCCTGTCTCAAAAGAAGAAAAAAGAAAAACAAAAAAAGAAAGAAAAGAAAAAAGAAGAAAAAGAAAATTCCCAGTGAATAATGATTATTGTTAATATTTTTAGGTCCAGAGCTAATGTTCCACTCCAACCTGGAGCTTCTGGGGATTATTATCCCCATTTAATAGATAGGAAAATGGAGTCTCAGAGCTGTAGAGACTCTGAACTCAAGACTTGTGGCTACACAGCCAGAGTCCTTCCATTCCCAACA